TGCTTGAAGGTAACCATATTCACTTGAATTGGAATTTCCTCAAGATGAAACTACCACTTCCTTATCTATTCAAGGAGTCTTGTAGAAGTTCTATCACATTCATCAGAATTTCATAAACAATCAAAACAAGCATAACTTCCATAATTACTGCACACCTGTACATAAAATATTTTAGCAAAAATTGTTTTCTTAGATCCGAAAACACATACATTGTCCCTTTAGACTAAAACAGAAACTTTACCATTTTTTTCTAAAATGTCTTTTTTATTTTTTAGAATAAATCAAAATAAATAGTTCTGATTACCAAAAAAAAATGAAAAGTAAGAATGATTAAAGATACTGGTATTTTTTTTTTGGGTCCTAAAACTTGCTACATAAGAACTTAAGATTTTGTTCTACGAAAACTAGATTAGTGGAAATCAAAGTCTACATTTTTCTTATGAATCTACTTTGATTAGAATAAGTAATCTTCTTAAATTAAAGTTATCTAAATATATTTGGCATCTATATTATACGGTTAACTTCTTTTTTTTTGCCGGCTCCCATCTTCTAAGATCAAGTGGTAGTCGAGTCTGAGTCGTTCCAAAGAAACGCTATGTACGGCTGGTTTTGATCTATATGGGAAAATAGATTCTTGCTAACCCTTTCCTCCTTAGCAAGTGTATCTGCACGCAAGTTCCTAGTCTGGGGTATGCGGGATATGCTGAAACCCGAGAAATCTTCCTTTAGGCGACATAAGGACACTAGCTCAGCAGAAAAGGCCGGCCAGTCAGCAAGACTATCTATCATTTCTACTAAGTCCGAACAGTCTGTCTCCATGTGGATTTTGCTGCAGGACTAGCTATACGATTAACCTCTAGCTCTAAAATTTACAGAATAAGCAATCTACAATCGTTTCAGAAATCTAATATCTGTAGAAATAGAGTTCAAACCTGTTAATTGTATTTTACATATAGTAGAATGTAAATTCTATGGATAATTATGAACTTTTCAGAAAATATGGAAAATTAGGTGTTTTCCTGCAATTTTGCGAGTAGTAATATAATACGAATAAATATAATATATTTTACAGTTTTCTAAATTATGAACAATAATTAGAAATAGAGAGATTCAGCCAAATACCCATATTTAGAGCTCATATTGGAAATGTCTATGATTTGACACAAAACAAAAATGTGTACAATTAGGACTTGGGTTGGACACTGATGTCCTTCGAACACTCTCTTTCTTCTGAGTCTTCTTTTACATTCTCTTTCCATTTCTCTCATTGTTTTGTTATTATACTTTCTTTTTCTTCCATATTTTTTCATCCAAATAATTTTTATTCATTAAAAACTAATTGACACACGAAAAAAATAATTTTTGTTCCTTAAAAACTAATTGACACACGAACAAAGTATTGATTTGTTTTATTACACCATAGACTGATAAAATCACTGATTGTTAACAAATGTGTTATCTGTAACAAATGATGTAGATGTTAATAGATGTGTTAGCTTTTAACAAACACATGTACCAGAAGTGTTAGCTGTTAATAAATATTGTCGATCTTAACAGAGGTGTTAATTGTTAACAAATACATGTAATCGATGTGTTAACAGAGTTGTTAACTGCTGACAAATATTGTAAATGTTAACAGAAGTGTTAGGTATTTAGCTGTTAACAAATACATAATGTATAATTTTTAATTTTTCTATCACAATGAGTAATATAAAAATCAAAATTATTCTTTAAAACCACATAGGAAATAAATATATATATTTGAATGAGTGAAAAAATAAGAACCAATAAAATTAAAGATCCAAAGCTACATATGAAACAAAAAAATAAAATTAAAAGTGAAATGGATATAGAACGATAAAGATTTGTATAATAATTAGAGATTAAAATTACAAACATCACTAAGATGACAGAGCTATAGAAGTAAGAGGAGAGAGAACGAGGGGCAATTTAGTCAACAAATCTGAAAAATCAAATCAGGTGTAAACTTCAAATTATGGGTTCAAATATGGTGTCTCAGATAATTATCTCATAGAAATATTAAAATTAAATTTTTTGCCTTCAAATAGAGGGTGATTGGTTGGGCTTTTATCTTCTTACTTTAGCTTTATTTATTTTTAAAACGCTAAACTTTACCAATCACATTGTAGCTTTATTTTTGTTAGTCAAAGTCTACAACAAATTTGTATTAACTTGTGCCAATCATGCTTTAACTTTATTTTTAAAACTACAGCAAAAACATTAAAGCAAAATTTATTCTTATGTATATTAGGCAAAACACCTACATCTTTATTTTATAAGCTGTAGAAATTGTAAAATGAAAAAAAATCTATAATATCAAATTAATTAGATAATCATAATAAAAATATCTATGAATATTTTAATTTAGTTCTGGATGTTTTCAAAATTATTCAAATATTTTACATAACATAAAATATTATTATTTACATATCACATTTTAAATAACAATAAACTTTGATAATTTATAGAAATAATTAATACAAATTATTTTAGTTGATAAAATAACTATTTTATATATACATCACATATATTATTTTGAAATATCTACATGATATACCTTACAACTACAAAAAATTTAACTACATCAAAAGTATGTGCAGTAAAATCTATAGTAACAACATTACAGGTACAACCATCTTACCTACAGTTAAATTTTTACAACTTTATTTTTGCAGCCACAGTCGAACTAATCATCACCATAGTTTAATAATTAACAATTACGTTATATATATTTTAGAAGAGCTATGAGATTTAATATAGTTCAAAAACATAAATCTAAGTCTGTAAATTTTTTTCTCTTAAATAAAAAATAATATTATAATTATTTCAGGTAATTATTTTTTTTTATATTAGTACGTGGAAACAAAAATATCATAAACTCCAAAAGACAGAAAAAGTAGATTTTTTTTGTGTGTGTATCTCCAAGATGATTTTTGGAGGCTCATGTAGCTCTGATATCGGCTTTGCAACTTTTTTTATATATGTTTCATTGCTTGATTTGATTGTATTTAATTTATTTAATTAAAAATATAAATTATTTTTAGGTGTTTCTTTCAAAAGATTTGGAAAAAATAAAAAAATGGATATGCTTAAAAATGATTAAATTCTATTTTTGGATATGAATAAGGTATTCAAATCTAAAAAAATTACGGATGATTAATTGTTGATTTATTTTTTATTGTAGTATCCATAAAAATAAATAAAAATCTAAAAATCATCAAATATGGAAAATGTGCCTGTTTTTTTTTTAAACTCCACTGATGAACTTACGTGTAATAAAAAATCACTTAAATAACTTATCTTTAAATAATAAAAATGAGATATAATTTATATAAAAGAAATTTCCTACGATAGACCTAAAAAAGTTTTTTTCACAAATATAGACCTTAAAAATAAAAATGAACAAAATAGACTTAAATATTTATCAAAAATAATAAATATATATATTTATATCCTCTAGGCTAACTAATCCTAGACTTTTTTGTTTGATTTTGGAGATATGATTGCAATTTTTTTTTTAAAGCCTTAAAATTTTTAAAATAAAAAATGTTTTTTTCGTTATTTTAGTTTTGAGGTCTATTTCTGTGATAAAAACTTAAAAAAGTCTATTTGAGAGAATTTCCCTTTATATAATTTACAAATCCTTATAAGTATACCTATACACGAGTATAAATATATATATAACATTATACAAACAAGGAATTATAAACTTTATAAGTTTTTCTGGTTCACCTTGTTTAACTATTTGATTACATGACTTAATTCTATCAAAAATTTACAAACATAAAAAAATTGATGAAATCTTATATTTTTTTTTTAATTCTGCTATTAGTTATCATAAATCATTATTTGTAAGACTTTTTGTGCTGTTTGGTAGCTTATATTAACTGGTTCTAAAATTTCCTTTTGTTTTTAGATCTGATTAAAATATATGGATAAAACTCACTTAACTGACTTCTCAGTTAATATATATATATATATATGACGTGATGATATATTTTCTACAATAAAAAAATATTTAAATATATTTAAAATTTACTTTATGCTTAAACTGATAGACAGATAGAACATGAATAAATTTTGCATGATAAAAAATTTATAACAATTGAATGCTTACTTTTAAATCATATGTTTCACATTAAGTTTTTATTATTTGATATATTTCACAATAAATGTTTCGTAGACTTTAGAATATATTTTTATTTTAATAGTATTAGATTATTTGGCAAATGATATAATTTGGTTTATAGTTATTTATTTTTATAGAATCAAATTCAATAAGTGAAAATTATCGACCAATCAAATTATACAATTAATCCTACAATTTTCCTATGAATGACATATGTAAAATATTCATTTAAATGACTTCAAAATTAATATATAGGAGGATCTATTTAAAATCATTTATATAATTGTTTATATAATATCATATGTATTTATATGTATATTAACAATTTATATAATGAGTGACATGTCAGCATAAATCATTTAAGTGACTTCTCAATTAATATATAGGAAGACGTAGTTATCTTTAATAATAAAGTTGAGATTTTTCTCTCCTTAGGGGGAATAATGACACCTGGCACCTGATGAAACTACTGCGTTTTGATACTGGGTTATGCTGCTTTCGTTTGGGCTCGCTTTTTTCTATTTTATATTCAATATGGGCTTTGTTTTTCCTTAGTCCAGAAACTAGAATTAGGGTTCATCCTTGTCTCAGTCTTGCGACGTGAAAAGGTGCTGCCGTCGATGGCTTTTACGATTCATTCTTCGTGATGGGTCATTGTTTTCTACTTTGCTCCCACCTTCTGTCTCATCAACACATCCTTCACTCTGCATCCTTCAATCAGACTCATCGAATCCCCCATTAACCGTCATGTCCTCCGACTATAAATATATCCAGTGGTTTTGAAGCCATGAACTGCAAATCTTCTACTAGATCTAAGCTTATTTTTTCTCTGCTCAGTTGATTTTACAGAATGATAACTGCAGTTATCTTTTGGGAGAATGACACTCTCCAAAAAAGGTGAATTGTTTTCTCTTTTATGTTTCTATTGTACGTTTTCTATAAATCACTTGTTGATTTGTGGTTTACATGGATAGCATATGCTATATGAGTGATATAGACGAGGACAACAGGATGAAGCGTGAAATACATAGTGGGGAAGTTTCTGCCAAATCTTGTGGAAAACCATGTTCTAAAAGCAAGTACAATTCTAAACACTGCAAATACCATCTGATTGTCATTGTTCTCTCATTTATCACAGCCAACTGAGTTTGATTGCTCTCTGTACCAGCAAGCTGATCGGGATTCAAACTTGATAACTAATGGTGTTATATTTCATGGTGAAAATTCTCCGAGAAACTATAGTGAGGTGTATCGGTGTCGTCAGGTTACAAACATATTACTGAATTTCTTCTCAAATTTCTTTTTACTAGATTCACCAAAGGGAAGTAGATGACAGTAACTTAAGTTCGTCCTTTCTTTACAGGTTCTGCTGATCAGAGAGAGAGATTAGCAATGTTCGTGGAGAAGCTTGATCAGTCTAGAGATATAATTAGAGAGAGTCGAAAAACCATGACGGAAAAGGACCAAGACCAAGACTATTTACT